ATTAACTTATTAGTAGCACGTGTATATATAAATAGTGGCAACTAGAATTACTTTGCAAAGTGCAACTTGAAGAATGCTTGCGTTTGAAGGTATTTCCCCGAACAAGTAATATATGAAACAGTCACTTGTAGCACGGGATAACTGTCTCGTATTTAATGATATGATAACTTGGGGCCCCAGTCTATTTAAATTTTTTCCCATTTTTGGTTCGATGGATGAAGGAAGCTGACTCTATTTCCCAACTTGCCGTGACCGGGGTTCACTCTTTTATCCCCTTTGGGGCTATTTTTTACCTTTTTTGAATTAAGTTTTTTACGAGGTTCATGAACGCGAGTCTTTGTTAATTATTCCACAATAAAACCAATTTTTGGGTTATCCTTTTCCCCTTAAAAAATAAGCTCGATTTTTTCACTTGCCATTACCCCCTTTCTTGATTGAGTTTGCAGTTTTCTTTTCCTGCTTAACATTTTTCAATTTTCTTTTCTCTTTAATTTTTAATTTTCCATTATTTGGGGATAGTTTTTTTGGTATTATTTCTTTACTTCCTCATTTTTTCCCCCGTCATTTTGTAAATTTTTTTATATTCCACGAGTTATTGTCCTTTTATTTTTTCTGCAAAATGGGACGTATGGTTCAATTATCCCTAGTTCGGGCCTCCATTCCATGTATCTGAAAAAATTTTCCATTCTCGGTACTGACCCCTTTGAGAGGCCCATTTTTTTACATTTGCCCATTCTGAATTCATCTAGGACATCCTTATATTTTGATCTGGTTTTTGTAACTCTGTTGTTTCAATCATAAACGTTTGTAGACAGGATTTACATCACAAATGGGTTTGTTGTAGCAAAAAAGGGACTTCAAACGAAAGCAGCTGCTTTTGAGTTTACGATCTCGATAATCATTTACACTCGGTTCAGTCCCTAAATGTACTTTTGTTCCCGGAAGTTTGTATACAGGGTTTTGGTCATCCTTGTTACACACATTTGTGCCAAAACACAACAAACAGGGGGTATCTTAAAGCAACATAAACACAGGAAAAATGTGAAATTCCAACACATTTGTGATTTCTCACATTTTAAAAAATGATGTTATGTAAAAATCCCAAAAGGCTTGAAATTATTGCACACATATTTATTATCATTATTTTTAATGAGCAAATTCCTGCCTGTCTCTTCTTCGTTATACTTTCCACAGGGACCACACGGGATCGTCTATACCAGGGATTCTCAACTTTTCCTTCATTATCCCCCTCGGCTTGATGTATTTCTTAATTTACCTCCTTACTTCAATGCAAAAAAAAATTATCACCATCATAAAGGGACAGAAAAAACAAGGTCACAAAAAATCAATTTTTCAGATTTTACACAAAAATATTTACCCCTTGCCATGTAATCTTTTACACCCAAGGGGTGAATTTACCCCTGGTTGAGAACCACTGGTGTATATGCATGCAATAGATGTTATTGTGCCTTTGGCCGCCTTCATTGGATTTGGATGCAGTATCTGCCATGCAGACGTTGCTTATTATAGTTAGGTTCTTGCTAGAGAGAATTTGTAATATAAGGAGCAAAGTAATTTAATAATTCCGTCACTCAATAAAGTATACCTAATTTTTTAATTATATTTGGAGTGAAAATGTTTGTATTTGAATTAAGGAGACAAGGAATATTGCGACTATAATGTTTCATACTACGTGTTCTTGAGAGAAAGAACATTTAAAATCCTATTGCTCAATGTAAACAATATTTTTCATTATTTCAAGCACCAGGTGTAAAGGAAAGTAGATTTTTTTAACATTATAAATAGAATTTAATGGTAAAATTTTCACTCCTTTATTATCGACGCCTTTCACAGTTTAACGTGTTTCAACAAGTTCAAATTTGTTGCTATGAGGTACTGAGACGCGCGTTAATTCAATCTGTCAGGGTTATGAGTGATAGGATGTTGATCTCTGGCACTAGTGTGCTCAGCCCCCAGACTACTTGAAGCTTGCTGGGGTATGAATGATGAACTCCTTGGCATGGGATCATTCGGGCACAGGGCCAATTGGCCCCCTTCTCACAATCAAGACCTGGGCCATAATGAGTGCTACGTGGCAGCCACACTCGTGACAGGGACCACTCTGGCTCGCTGCCAGAGACGCCTGTCATTTTCTCATCCCTCTGAATCATACACTTGTGGCTCCTCCACGTGGCCCCTTCTTACCTACACCGTGTTTCCGGGGATCAACACCCCAGCGACCCGGTCCATGACCAGGCATCTTTCATAGAAGAACATATTATTAGGAATATTTAGCCCAGGATAGCCCAAGAATACTAAGTTCAGTTTAGTATAGCCAGAAGAAAGATTGTAGACGAATGATTCAGAGAACCGATACGTTGATAAATTAGACACATATGCAACTCTTGGGTATCTTTATTAAGGAAACATTTCGCCACACAGTGGCTTCATTAGTCCATACAAAGGAGGACTGGGAAGAACAGGAGGAGAATGAGGTAATCAGTCCCTCAACCTTGAGTCGATGTGGTCAGTCCATCAATCTTGAATAGAATACAGCATATGAGCAGAGAAGTATCTGATATACCATAGGCAGGAGAGGTGCAGCAGTCGTAGGTGGTGTCACATTTGTCCAATGTGGAAGTAGGTCGTGCCTAAGGGTTAGGCAAGCGAAGAATTCCCAAGTATTAAGATCCTAAGAAGTTGCAGTGTCTGACAGGATTGTAGACGAATGGTTCAGAGAACCGACACGTTGATAAATTAGACACACGTTCAACTCTTGAGTATCTTTATTGAGGAAACATTTCGCCACCCAGTGGCTTCATCAGTCCATACAAAGGAGGACTGGGAAGAACAGGAGGAGAATGAGGTAATCAGTCCCTCAACCTTGAGTCGATGTGGTCAGTCTATCAATCTTGAATAGAATACAGCATATCTGCTGTATTCTATTCTGCATGGCGAAACGTTTCCTCAATAAAGATACCCAAGAGTTGCACATGTGTCTAATTTATCAGAAGAAAGATTGGCAGTAGGTAAGTAACACCCACCAAGAGAGTTAGTACAGTTGACAAGCAGTCCTGGCAGGACTGCTTGTCATTAATTTGTCTCAAACATTCGTAGGTAAACCTTCCAGACACTAACATGCAGTTTACTCTTTGTGTGTGCATATGCTAATATGTGTGTGAATATCAGCTTATCTGAGTTTTCTTCTGTTTTGCTTAATAATTCTTATCCTTGCAGTATTTTTTAAATTCCATGGAAAATGGCCTCCAGTTTTTTCTCAGTAAGCATAAAAGACGGCTTGGGACGGTGTTAGTAACTTCTGTAATAATTACTAAAAAAGACATAAAAATTCTATTTTTTTTAATTTTAACATATATATTTGGCGTCTGCCGAAAACTGTGATGAAAAGACACTTTCCCGAAGAAGCTTTCATTACGGACCAAGTCTTGATGTGTAAAACATTATTAAGTCATATGAAAAAAAACAAGACGTATATGGGAATGAAGGAAGCAATGAGTGAAATAGTTAAAGTAGGAGGGAACGGTGGAGCACCGAGAGTTACACTGGACAATGTTGAACACTTGTCCCTCAATGCAAGTCTTTACTCACATATTGAGTCAAACTATAATCTTCGTGGTACAAGTATCAAATTGGGCACACGAATTATTTAGCCGTCAATGACTTATTTAAAAGTTGAATTCCAACCTGATTTGACCTATCACTGAAAGGAGGTCAAACTTAAAACCTGATCACCCGTAAATTTTCAGTTCCTCGTATTTTGATATCTTCATTTTTACATTTATACTTATGTTTCAAATACAAAAAAAAAAAAAAAAAAAAAAAAAAAAGTCATATTTTTGGTCTATCATGCCTTTTTGGCAATCAGTGTCCATCAGTTATTCAGTCAACAGTTATTCTCTGTTCTTCCCAGAACACTGGTGACTGGTAACTGTGAACCAGAACACTGGTGACTGGTAACTGTGAACAGAACACTGCTGACTGGTAACTGTGAACCAGAACACTGCTGACTGGTAACTGTGAACCAGAACACTGCTGACCGGTAACTTGTGAACCAGAACACTGCTGACTGGTAACTTGTGAACCAGAACACTGCTGACTAGTAACTGTGAAATAGAACACTGCAGACTGGTAACTTGTGAACCAGAACACTACTGACTGGTAACTTGTGAACCAGAATACTGCTCACCACTAACTTGTGAACCAGAACACTGTGACTAGTAACCTGTGCACCAGAATACTGATGACTGGTAACTTGAGAACCAGAACACTACTCGCTGGTAACTTGTGAACCAGATCACTGCTGACTGGTAACTTTTGAACCAGAACACTGCTGACTGGTAACTTGTGAACCAGAACACTGCTGACTGGTTACCTGTGAACCAGAACGCTGGTGACTGGTAACTTGTGAACCAGAACACTGGTGACTGGTAACTTGTGAACCAGAACTCTGCTGACTGGTAACCTGCGAACCAGATCACTGCTGACTGGTAACTTTTGAACCAGATCACTTCTGTGCAGAAATTTTCTCCAGGAGGGGGGTATCAGCCCCCTTCAGCCCCTTTCAGCCCTTTCAGCCCTGAGGGGCCCAGCTTTCTCAGAAGGGGCAAGCGTCTTGTTTACTGCTACAGTGAGTAATTGATTGCAGATGCAGTACGAGTATGCGACGTGGTCAAGCGACCACGGCTCCTTGCAGTCCAGTGTTGCAGAGTGTATTTTAATAAGAGACAGTACATCTCTTACCTTAGCAGGACAATTAAGGAAAATCCTGCTCCCACTTTATTACCATAGTAAAGATAGTGGACATTGTTGTCTATGCTTAAGACAGCAAGATTTAAACATTCTGCTTTGCTTCATCGAGGAAGTGGCACGGAAGCAAAAGTACTATGTCAGCTTTTCCTTTGTGCTGGGGGCAGTAATGGCGTGGGGTGCTGTGGCGTCTTCAGATTACTTTTGACT